GACAATATTTCTCTTCAAATAAATGGACTAAATAAGCTGTTGAGAACTTCTTTTGTAGGAATACTTAGTGGAAAAAAAGACTTAGATGTTTAGGGTCTTCGCACTCTTGCATAGCTTTAATTCATTGATTAATATGAGGTTTTCAATAAAACAAAAACAAGTTATTTTACTTTATTAGCTTTCTTAACAGATTATCAAGTGTATAATCAGCAAGTGAAAAGTTGAATATGAACTTTTGCAGTCTCATGCAGTTTTGAGGGATAGAACTCTATCTTCATCTCCGCACAAATACCACAAACAAAAGCAACGAAAATCATATTCTTACGCGGTAAGAAAGTCACACAGTTTTTTCTTTCAAAAAAGGGGACATGGCTGTTTGATTCAACGGTGACTTAGTGAAAGATAATTGTGTTCAGTTTTTTTTGTGATGCGAGCTACTATTCTATTGAATTTTGCTATGAAGCGACGAGATCAGGACTACAGAAGAAATTTGCTGGAGATCTGTCGCTTTGCTTGTAGAGAACATGATGATGTCAGATGAACACGTTGCCAACTGATAGAAAGCATGAATAATAAAGTTATATAGTAATGAAAGAAACAAAGCACCAGACCGCAGCTTCGAAAAAAATTTTTCTGAAAGTTTTGAATTATCACCATTCGCGCGCAAATCACGTATTGGACGATCAACCACCGCGATCGCGTACTTTTAGCATACTTACCGTATTGTCGCGAAATAAATCGAAACGTCTTAGTGTGATGGCGCGACGGTCTGAAAGTGCCGTAGGGTCAATTAACCATATCTAGTATCTGCCTATATTTTTTGCCTAGCTCTGAGTTGTCTCTAAGTCTCAACTGGTAGTGAAGGAAAAGTTTGGAATTCCTCATTGCAATACGTTCCTTAGCCAATGCTTCACAATTATTACCCTCATTTCAAGGTGCGTCGGGGTTCAATGCCTCTCTCGCAAGGAGATGACGAAGATGATGCCATCTCCATTTCAGAGAGACGACCTGTTCCTGCCGTTTCGACACGGAATCTAATCGGATTTTGGCAAGTCCTTTCTTTCATGGTTACGATTATTTAGTGCTTTTCACGATTGTCCTATTTTGAATATACGCTATTTCAAAAGCGATATTTCATTTGTTTTCATGAAGTCCTACAGTTTCTTTCTTCTTACTGAATAAAAGATTGAAATGGCAATTGTCTCCAGGATACTCGGCTTATGCAACAATTTTGCCTACGTCGTAATGCTAAGTGCGGCAAAGGATATTCTAGAAACAGACAGTGGAAGTAGCATAATGAATGTTACGCACGCATGTCGGGTGCGTTCTTTTCTATATTTCCTACTTTCCTTGGCATTCTCTTCGTTCAAGTCTTTCTTTTAACTTTTGTAGCTTTTATACGAACCAGTTATCGGAGATACTTGTAATAGTCTTTGTGCTTAGAAAATGTAAAAGGTCATTATTGCTTTTCTTTCATCTATGTAATTATTGCGCATGCATTGACGACATATTTTGCTTCACCTATATCATCAACAGTAATTAAACGTTTGCATTGATCACATCGTGCCTTGGCAAGCTGATTAGGAAATTTATGTTTTTTATACGGATACACTTTTTGGAATATCATACAAGGTATTACCCGATTTTACAAATTTTACCAGAAACCTTAGGCATTTTCAAAAGTGTCTGATCTGCTTGTCAGCCCGGAGCATCTCTTTAGCAAAATCAGCTCCATCGAATCTCGTTAAAAAAGGAAAGGTTCAAGAGCAATGTCTATGTCGTCCCAAGTCCATTGCCTCGCCTCATGCTACGTTCTGGAAAGATGGAATCTATGCTGCTTGCGCTTTTGAACAAAGTAGTCGACTTTAGTGCTAAAAGCTTGTGATTTCCAATCTCTAAGTGAATAGAATTTACTGTAATCATCTGATTTTGTTGCAGAATTGAGTAGGTGTCTTGTACGCGTTTCAATACACTTAATTAAAAGGATCAGAATATTTTGAAGAACCGAAGGGTGCGGGCAACCATGTTTTTTGTCCATGGCTGTTAGACTGATAATCTTTTCGCTGTAGCCTTACCATCTTTTTTATGACGAAACAATTACCAAATGTGAACCTTCAAATAAATTTCAACCTATACTTCAACAACTTTTTGCATCCAAAAAATCGCCTACTTGTACAGGAAGAAATTGTTGACCGACACTGCCAAGAAATGTCAACGGGTGCCGTTTTACTTGCCGATATAATACCCGCTCTGGTGGTGAAAGTTACCGCGCCGCTTTACATTCAAATAGTTCCCTTCGGGTGAGTCCCATTTATCATGGTACTTTAAGGTTTTCCTACTCGTTTTAATTTTCAGCTTCCGTCATCTTCTCGTTGTTTTAGCTCAAATGCTGAGCTTTATATTAGTCGCTTCAAGTAGTAGTGTATCCATGGCTTTGTTTGGTATGTCTTTCATCTAGTGATCATAATCATTTAAATGAGCATCCTATTTTAGGTGTTGTTGTTGCCAGCTGGGGCTCCGGCTTGGGTGAAATTTCATATTTAGCACTAGCTTCATATTTTGATTCGTAAGTTTCTTCGTGCTCCTCACTTAATATATCTAAGCCATCCTTCTCAGGAAAGTAATATCTATGTGGTCTTCCGGCACGGGAGGAGCAGGTATAATAGGCGCTATGGCCTATGCTGTGCTCACCGATCCGGTGATGTTGCATTTCTCACCGCAGGCTGCCCTATATAGCATGTTGATTATCCCTTTGATATTTGCTTACACGTCAGTTTTCGTTTTTCTTTCGTATTCTGTTTGTTATCTGTATCACTCTTTTGATGACTATTCCGCACTTTTATCACATAAGTACATAATTGGGCTTTGAGAAAGCTAATTTTTTATATTAAATATGACTAAAACCTCTTAGCTCCCGGTACTTTCAGTTACAGCGCTCAATCTTGAAATTTCGAGTTTTGCTGAAAATTCGCTCAAAATTTTATTTTGGCTTGTTGATCCTATAAATCATATCTCCACTACTAAGGCCTCATTATAGGTGTCCGGTGAAGGATCACGGATTTGCCTCGAAAGTGTTTTAGTAGGGTAGTTTAATGCCGATTACAAACATGTATTCGCCTCCACGGCAGTGTCTTATTGTAGGTTACGATAGGCAGACGGTAGTAGATGATGAGTGATTTGATGTGCTGATCGCGCATATTCATTCTGCGCGTTAAGCCTTTTTGTAGGATTGCGATAGGTGGGTTGTAAATGTTTAACGTATACTGTCTAAGTTCCGTAATCTTGCATCAACACTTATCATGCGGAACGGATATTTGTGATCATTACGTCGAACTATCCTACTAGAGCACTCTTAAGGCAAAGTCATTTTGATCTCTTATTCACCCATTGTAGGAAATAAAGAAGCCCTAGCGTACCGAGTATATGAATTTTGTGGGCAGCGTGCCAATTTATCCCTCTGAACGAAGTTTCAGCGAAACTCGACATTTTGAGATTTTGGGCATTATGAGTAGAGTAACGCCAAGTTCCTTATCTAATATAGATCCATTGAGGTTGCCTTCAGGTTTTGGTTTCTTCTCGAACTACCCACCACTGTACATAGGATTGACGCATGTGATCCAAAAACATATTTCGTCCCTAAAAATGTCGGTAAGTCTATTGTATTTGTAAAGTTCTTTTCGTAGACTCTCTTTCCGGTGTTTTTTAAATGTTATGTCTGTTTATGTCTTACGTTTTCTTTTTCTACAAAAATTGTTGCAACATTGTAGATAATCCCTTCAGAATATGTAACTCGAGTTCGCCAAGTATCAGCGTCATCCGAATCGGATATCGAGAGGCCATTGCTTGACGGTGATGTTGAAGATGAAGAGGATGATGGTAAGATTCGAATTATCATTATCTATTGATTTTTAGAATGTCTTTAAGCAATGGTTTCCTCTTGTTTATCATACTTTCAAAACATTATTTATTGCTGTTGTTTTTTGCTACTATACTTAGTATTCTGTTAGAACTCAATATTTCACTTTTTCATGTCCCGTAGATAACATAGTTTAAAGCACTTTTTAGATATTCAACAAATTTCAATTTTACTGCAGTGAAATGAAAGGCGGCATTTATTGTTGAAGTGCCGACTTGTTTTTAATGAAAACAATTGAAGTCACTTTGTACATGGCCGTGACTCCGAAAAAGAATCTTTACTGGTCATTCAGATAATAATACGAGCCCTCCCGCACAGTCACAAAGATTACTCTCCATGTATGAACGACTCGGAGCTGCGATACCATTGTTCAAGTACATGTTACCTCTGATTGTGGTCTACTTTGCAGAATACTTCATTAATCAAGGATTGGTGAGCGAAGTTCTTTCTGGATGACTCGTCTGTAGTTACTACTTGATTTACAGCAATACCCATCGCATCACTTATTTTTTTTTTTTGCTTTTTTTGCTCGCACAGTTCCTTACATAATTTTACGTTAACTTTAGCTGGAATTGTTGGA